CCCCATTTTTTTTTTTTTTTTTTTTTTTTTTTTTTGCCAGCGCCACACGGCATGCGGAATCTTAGTTCCCCCACCAGGGATCCAACCGCTCCCCCTGCAGTGGGAGCGCGGAATCCTAACCACTGGACGGCCGGAGAATTTCCCCCATCCAGCATCTTCCAATCCACCTTCTACACAGCAGCTAGCAGGAGCTTTCTATCTGCGTATCTGACCCCTCTTAAACCTCTCATGGTCCCCACTGGATAACGTGCTGGATCCTGACACGACCCCAGGGCCTCCCTGTTCTGGCCCTAGCTGACATGTCCAGCCTCACCTGTCACCATTCACCTCCAACCACTAAGCTCTGACTCCACAGAACTCGCTGTCAGCGCCTCAGGGGCAACCAACACACGCCCCTCCTGTTCACCTCTCAGCCTTCCTGCAGCCTATCCCTGCTCCCTTCTCTTTTAACTAGACTTCATTTTTTAGACCAGTTTTAGGTTCACAGCAAAATTGAGCAGAAAGTACAGCTTTCTCATATGCTCCCTGCCTGCCATACACACGCACGGTCTCCTCCATCGTCAACATCCTGCAGCAGAGTAGGACGTTGGTTACAGTCGATAAAGCTACGCTGACACGTCATTATCACCCCAAGTCCACGGTTACATTAGGATTCATCCTTGGTGTTGGACGTTCTATGGGTTTGGACAAATGTATAATGACATGTATCCCTATTGTACTATCATACAGAATAGTTTTATTGCTCTAAAAATTCTCTGTGTTCCCCGTCTTCATCCCTCCCTCTCCTCACAACCCCTGGCAACCACTGATCTTTTCACCGTCTCCACAGTTTTGTCTTTTCCAGAATGTCATATCGTTGAAATCACAAAGTATGTAGCCTTTTCAGACTGGCTGCTTTCACTTACTACGCATTTAAGGTTCTTCCATGTCTTTTTATCACTTGATAGCTCATTTCTTTTTAACGCTGAATAATATTCCATTGTCCGGATATACCATAGTTAATTTATCCATTCACCTACTGAAGGACGTCTTGGTTGCTTCCAAGTTTTGGCAATTATGAGTAAAGCTACTATAAACAACAAATCTGTTTGCAGTTTTTTGTGCAGATATAAGTTTTCAATTCCTTTGGGTAAATATCTCTTCCTTCTTTTTCACCTGCTGCCTCCTACTTATCTCTTAAGGCTCTACTTACTTATAGCCTCCTCCAGGAAGTCTTCCCTAATCCCCCCTCCCAGCTTGGCAAAGGTGCCCCCACTGTGCCCCACAGCCTGCTGTACTCCCCCCAAACAGCATGGACTATACTGCTGGCTTCGGCTTTCCTTGCTGGTCTTGGGCTCCTCAAGGCAGGGATCAGGTCTCGGCACACACTAGGTGTACAACACACGCTGGTAGAATGAATGGGTGATGCTGGGCTTTCAGGGAAGAGCTGGCATCTGTGGGAGTCACTACCTGGACATGGGGTGACCTGAAATATTCAGCTCTCGTGGTAGCAAAGCCTTCTCTCCGTTGCCACACTCTCTTTGACCTTGAAGACCAGCTACTCCCCAGAAAAGGCCTCCCAGCCTTTGTGTTCTGGACATATTCACAGTCTTGCTCATGTTTATCTTGCCTTTCTGCTCAGAATGCACGTTCCTGGAGTGCAGAGTCAATGTTTTGCTGTTTTGTTTTGTTTTGTTTTTCCTGTATCCCATGGTGTCATGTACAGTGTAATGTACATGTACAGTGTAATGTATGTAGTGGTTGAGATTCCAGGCCTGAGTTCATGACCCAGCTCTGCCTCTTACCAGTTAGGAAGTTATATTACTTCTCTGAGCCTCAGTTTCCTCATCTATAACATGAGGTAATAATGTGCAGTCCCTAGAGTCATCATGAAAATTAAATGAGATAATATGTGTAAAGCTACTTAGTACAGTGACTGGTATACAATAAGGGAACAGTTATAGATGATGACTATTATGATTACTATTGGTTATTTTAAAAACACTTTTACTGAGCGTTCATTATGTGTCCGGTACTGAGTTCTGTGGGAATGACAGAGATGAAGAAAGCGGGGTTCCTCTTCTCCAAAAGTTCAGAGTCAAGCAGAGATATAACTAGCATTTAGGGGCCAGTGTGAAGAATGAGGGTGAGCCTGAGGTGTTGTGAAAGCCCAGAAAAGAGGAAGTGCAATCTGGGGAATGAGGAAAGCAGTGTCTGAGGGAGTGGCCCCACTGCTGGGTCTTGAAGGATGAATAGAATTTAGGACCAGCGAAGAATAGGACAAAAGGCATCCTGACAAAAAGAACAATGTATTCAAATGACAGCTTAGGAGGTTCATGGACCACCTATGGCTTTAAGGTGGAGTGTGAGTGAAGGAATGGTAGGAGCTGTGGCCAGAGAGGTGAGCCGTGGAGAGATTTTAGGGGGCCTAAGTGTCAGGTTGAGGAAAGTGGTATTCAGAAAATACCTACGTGGATGGATGCAGGAGTAGGTGGACAGATAGATGGAGAGAGATGGATGGGGGCAGATGGACACAGGACTGGCTGGATGGATGAGTACATGGATAGAGATGGGAAAATGACTGTACAGACTGAGGGACAGATCAGTGGAAGTATGGGTAGAAATATAGGCAGACGAGTAGAGATATACAAATGTATGAATGAATGTTGAGAGGTAGAGATGCATGGATAGATGGAGAGAGGTACATGGGTAGATGGATGCATGGATGAATGCATGGGTGAATGTAGAGAAGAATGAATAGGTGCATGGATGGATAGATAAGGCCATAGATAAATGGTTCTATGGATAATTGTTTACACATGGGTGAGGGGGTAAATAGGCACCTGGACAGATAAAGAGATAGATGGATGAAAAGATGGAAAGATAGATATGGAAAGATGGACAGATGGTTGGATGGATGGATGGGTGTAGGGATGGAAGGCAGATTAGAGGGGTGGCAGGATGGAAGAGTAGGGGGATGGAAAGTTGGAGTGCACTGACGATTGCATCATGGATACACACGTGGAGGGCTCTGTGGATGCCCACTACTGCCCTGGTTTCTCTTCCACTCTCAAAACCACTTCCACCTACCTTCAAAGTCCACTCGTCCATCCCCATTGAGGTCCACATCTCGGATAATTTCCTCTATGTCTCGGTGTCCCACCTGATGACCCAGGAGTTTCCTCATGGCCTCTCGTAACTCACTGGTACTTATCTCCCCATCACCATTGGTGTCAAACTAGAGAGGGCAGGAAGGAGGGAGGAGTAGCTACAACATGGAGACTGTTGGAAGCAGATCCGGAGGTTGAGCCCCTTCTCCAGCACCACTGTCCCGCCTCCCCCGGATCCCTTCTCTGTCCAAGCTCCTTCCCCTGGTCTGGGATCCAGAGCTCACGTTTCAGTCCCGGGTTAGAATTCTAACAAGCTCCCCGCCCCTGCCTGTCCACTGCCCATCACTCACCTCTCGGAAGGCATCTCGCAGTTCCTTTACTCCAATCATATCTGCCGTCTCCGCCAGGAGTTTAGGTCCCATTAGCTCCACAAAGTCATCAAAATCCACATGGCCACCCACTGGGGACAGAGGAACAGGCTGAATCATCCGTCTAACCACTGCCCATCTGGGACTTCCCTGGCGGTCCAGTGGTTAAGACTCTGCACGTCCACTGCAGGGGGCACGGGTTCGATCCCTGGTCAGGGAACTAAGATCCCGCATGCCACGTGGCGCAGCCAATAAATAAATAAGTATATATTTAAAAAAATAAAAATTTAACCACTGCCCATCTCCAACTAAGCAACTGAGGGAACTACCAACCCTCCTTGACCTGCCCAGCTCCAGGCCCAGGGTATAAGCAAAGGCCAAATGAGGACAGAGAGGTGACCATGGACAGGGGGTTGTCACAGAATAGCTCAGGGGAGTGGCTGGAGTTTGACTAAAGGAACAAGTCAGGAAGTTGACAGGGGTAGATACGGAGGGGAGAAAGAATTATTAGGTCACAGAGACAGGCAAAGAATTTCAGAGAAGGAGAGACAGAGACACACATGCAGAAAAGCAGAGAGAGAAGCAGAAGCCGTGGGCACCTGGCCCACCTGCCCCCGCCTTTCCCTCGTTGTGCAAATAGAAGTCACCTTCCAAGCAGCCCTCAGTGGGGAGAAATACAGGGGACCTGCCCCCCCGGGGTCTGCTCACAGCACTTTCAGCCAGTGAGTGAGTTTGGGGGATAAATACCCAGCCTGAGAGGTAAGGGCTGGGGCCAACTCCGAGGTGGGCCTGCTACACCAGCTTCCCGAGCTCCTGGCAGAACTAGACTCCATCACCCACAGCGGCAGCTGCTCCAGCGCCTCCTGCCTTGGCTCCTTGGCTCCGCCCTCTCATCTCCCTACCCGCTACCCATGCGGTCCTGGCCCTACGGAGTAAACTACCGCACTCAAACCCCTATCTCCCGGTCTGCTCCTGGGAGAATGAAAATGAAGACAGAGAAAAACATAATAATGGCATCCTCTGTTCACCTCTTACTGTGTGCCAGGTATTTGGCTGTCTTAAGTACGTCCAAAAAAGAAAAACAGACTCACAGATACAGAAACAAACTAGTGGTCACCAGTGGGGAGAGGGAAGTGGGAGGAGGGGTGAGATAGGGGCAGGGGATTAAGGGATGCCAACTACTATGTATAAAATAAATAAGCCACAAGGATATAGTATACAGCACAGGGAATAGAGCCAATATTTTATAATAACTTTAAATAGAGTATAATATATAAAAATTTTTGAATCACTATGTTGTACACCTGAAACTAATATAATATTGTAAATCAAGCATACTTCAATAAAAATAAAAAAGAAACTTCCAGAATAGGCAAATCTGCTTAGATAGAAAGTAGATTAGTGGTTGCCTAGGGCTGGGGAGACACTTGGGGGTAATGGCAAAGTGATACAGGGTTTCTTTTGGGGGCCATGAAAATATTCTGAAATTGATTGTGGTGATGGTTGCACAACTTTAAATATACTAGAAGCCACTGAACTGCATGCTTTGTGAGTCAATTGTATGGTCTATGAACTATATCTCAATAAAGTTGTTACCAAAAATAAAAAATAAATGAATAAATAAACCATGAAAAAATAATAAAGAAATAAACATACCCCCAATTGACTTCCTGTGCTCTACTCCCTCTATTCCACCCCTCATTTTACAGGTGAGGAAATCGAGGCACAGAGAGAGTAGTTTGCCCCAGGTCACAGAGCTGGGAAGAGGTGGGCAGAGAACTTGAACCCAGGCAGAGGACAGCAAGGGCGAGGCTGGGGAGGGAAGGAGGTACCCGGTGGAGGGACTCACGGTTCATGTTGATCTGCTGAGACAGCTCGATAAGCTCCATCTCGGTAGGCATGTAGCCCATGGTGCGCATGCAGTTGCCCAGGTCCCGGCAGTTGATGTAGCCGTCCTTGTCTTTGTCAAACTCTCTGAAGGCCTCCCGGAGCTCTGGGGAAGCGAAGGAAGCGGGGGAGGGTTGGTTGTGGACAGGGTGGGGTGGGGAGATGACCTGCAGAGTCTCTGGGGCAGAGGCAGCCCGAGGGCCTGCTGACTCTTGCATTCCTCCAACGCCTGGCTCCACAGAGGGTGCCTGGCTCTGCGCCAGGCCCCGTGTGCAGGAGGCCGAGGTATCTCTGCCTCTCTTCCCACCCACCTTCCTCTCCACATCTTTCTGGATGGCTGAGCAACCCTCTCCCCTAAGGGGCCAGTTCTTACCTTCAATCTCCTCTGGCCGCAGTGATCTGTCCTGAAACAAAAGAACATGTCCTATTAGCAGCTGCAAGGGGCCCAGAAATCATACATTGCCCAGCTGACGGCCGTCCCAGTGGCAGCAGGCACTGGGCGGGAGGTGATGGGGCAGCAGCGGAGGCGCGCCTGGACCATGTCCTGGAGGGGAAAGGATGCAGCCCCACCTGTCCCACAGAATGGGAGATGCCCAGGGAAGTAGGAGCCCTCTCCAACCTGGGTACAGAACCTCTGGGCCCCCAGCCCCTTATTCCAGACACAAGAATGTGTCAGCGAACAGAGCTGGTCTGGAGGCCAAAACCTGTAAATAAAACGGGGTTAGCGGGAGGTCACAACAGAAAGAAGAGAGCTCTACCCAAAGAAACCAGGAAGAGCAGGGGACAAGAGGCCTGCAAAGCAATGTGAGAAGTGAGGGGCCG